GAGATTAAGGGTACCAGCATGAAAGAGTTTTGCACTCATAGATAAACACAGACGCAAAAATGAAAACAGGTTCAAGCACACCCAAAAATGCTTCTGAACTGAATAATGGAAATAACTTTAAGGTGCTGGAACATAACACTATTCACTTGTCCTACACTCTTAAAAATAAATGTGCTTCACGATGCCATAGAAGAACCTTTTTTGTCTAAATGGTTCTAAATGGTTCCAAAGAACCTTTAACATCTAAAGAACCTTTCTGTTTCACAAAAGGTTCTTTGTGGCGAAGGATTCTTCATATTATAAAAAGGTAAAGAGATGGTTCTTTAAAGAACCTTTGACTGAATGGTTCTTTGTGGAACCAAAATGGTTCTTCTATGGCATCACTGTGAAGAACCTTTTCAGCACCTTTATTTTTAAGAGTGTACACCAACTAGTTGTTCTATGTGGACTCTGAAACATTAAACATCTATGTTGCTGTTCTGAACATGAGGCTGTTTTGCTAAAACAAACACGAACATGCTTTAATATTCTACTTTCCTGTTCAGAATGTGTTTGAGTAGACTAGACTCCAAGTATTTGTGTATAAGAGTGTGAGCCAGTTGAACCATCATTATTTATTAAACATAGGATATTTTTCTCTGAAATGTTATTTTAAAGTGTAATATTTGTAAAATGAAATATGAACATATGGGGTTGTCTTCTTTAAAAATATTTTTAATTTATTTCTCTATTAAAAATAAAAATTATTATTACATATATATATGATACATTTTTATATTTTATATAAAATAAAATGTATCTATATTATATTTTATGTAATAATTCTTTTTATTTTAAATAGAGGATTAAATATAAAATATTTTATTTAGATTTAAGATATTAAATATAAATATATAAAAAGTATATATATATATATATATATATATATATAATAAGCTCCACCCTCAAGCCAGTGGCAAAGTTTGCCATTTTTTAATTCTCATAAAAATATTCTCTGAACTTTTTTAAAATATGAAGTATTTTTGTATTAAATAATTATTTTATGTATACAACAAAATAATTTAAATAATACAATTTAAATAATAAAAATGTACATACATTCATATATACATGATTATATAATCTAAAACCGTATTCACTCCCTGCCACTGACACAACACTAATGATGCTGTAGCTTCATGCTATATTTTGTTCTATGGATTTTTCCCCATTTCTACTTCTCTTTTTTTACCTATTCTAGCTTTCTGTTTCTTTTCTCTGTCCCTCATCCTGCTGTGGTAAGTCAGGAGGTTTTTGTATGTCATTGTGGTGTCTGCTCAGCAGCAGCAGCGATCGCATGATGTCTGCAACATTACAGTCTATGGTCAGCAGTCGGTTAGCCAGTCAACTGACTGATGGATTTACCAACAACATCCCCCAAACAGATGGACCCTCACCCCTGCATTATTAAAATTCATTCAAAGACTGAATCAGCTGCTCTCGTCTTGTGATTGCGTCTGGGAATTGTTCATTCTACTGTCACCATGGTTATTTGATTGACTAGTGACATGCTGTTTAAAGCTGGTCCCATGGGGTTTGTGGTCAATTCTGGGGCTGCCAGCGCTGTAAGTGGGGAATTATTCTGGTTTATTAATAGCTTAGAGAGAAAGGTTGCCAGGGTTGCCTTAATCTGATTTTATGACTGCGAGTCCACTGCATCAAAGAAATGAAAAATAACCTTTGATTGCATACATATCAGCAAATTTACATTGTCAACATAGAACTGAAGTAGAGCCACACTTGAAATTCTGTTCTGAAGCCCCTTGAAGACACGGATTGGGTGAAATGTTCTGCAGCTTTAAGGATTATGTAACTACTATCAAATGTCTAGTTCTATCCCACCCATGTATTTAAACTGTGTTTACTGAAGCAGTTTAAATGCTTAACAGGAAGGAAGGAAACACAAGTGAAAGGATAGCAGATAAATTAGTCAAAATTTGATTTTGGTAAACATTAAATGAAGACATTCCAGTCCACCTCCCTTGAGGACGCAGAGAAAGACATACTATCCTGACAGGCCAGAGCAGGTTGCAATTTTGTTACATGCCTCACTACTACAGTCACTAGAGGTCACCGTTACCAGTCTGAAAAATCAAACATGAACTCAACATTCATTCATTCATTCATTCGTTCATTCTTTCTTTCAACTTAATGTAACTTTTTCTCACTTCATGTTTGTGTGTGTGGGTGTGTGTGTGTGTAACTCATTTTAAACATTTTTTAAAAGTATGCTATTCTTTCTGTAAAATTACTGTTTTCTATCTTTAGTTTAGCTATCTTTGCCATCTGTATTCATGTTACTTAAGCAATAACACACCACTATTCAAAACAACAGTACGATTGCAAATGAGATTATGCTTTTATACAATAGCTCCATAAACGAATAGCTGATATAACTTACATCTACATTCCACCAACATAAATAGTTCCAAACAGAGCGAAAGAAGAACTGTTGCTTAGCAGTGGCGTTTCCTACCTGAATTAATTGTTTTTTGAACGAATCGATTGATTGAATGAATGATTCATAAACACACACACACACACAATTAAATTCCAAGCATGCTCCAAAGTCAATGGAATATTCAGATATATTTGTTTAAACAATTCAACAGAATGAAAATGTAGGTGTCAGGAAATCATCACAATCACTCACGTCAGCACAGTCACCTCCTCCGACACACACCAGATCCCAATCACCCGAATTCTGATCACCTGCACCTGCAATCACCAATCAAGCCTGCTATATCTTCTCACTCCACTCAGTATTCCAGTGTCTGGTCAACCGTTCACTACCCGAACAATACCAGACTCCTTACCTGTTGTTTCCTTACCTCCAGGGTTCTATAACGTCTCCGCGATCCCGATTCTCCTCAGCCCCGGTTCATCTCCAGGATTCCTGCAACAATCAGAACCCAGATTATCAAGAAGCTAAGAAACCAAGAACTTTCATATCTCTCATACTCACCTGCCTTTGATCTTCACCATTACAGCATTGTCAATAAACCCTTCTGTTTACCTGCACTCCTCTTGTCTCTGGCCTGTTTGACAGAAGACCGGACCAAGAACCAACACCTCCATGGATCCCCGTCTTCCATCCACCACAGAGGTCCTAGAGGAACTGGTCAGTGCCCTCAGGGCCTCTCACGCCAGTCACCACCCCCTCATCTGCCTCTGTAAGTCCCATGGCCCTGCCTGCTTCATATGCTGGTGACGCTGCTATGTGTGGCGGCTTCCTTCTACAAGTGGCTCCGTTTATAGAGATGCAGCCGCAGAAGTTCACAATAGAACGTTTGAAGGTAGCCTTCTTAATTCCCCTCCTAAACGGCAAAGCGCTGGAATGGGCCCGAGCTATATGGAACGCTAACAGTGCCATAATTAATTCATATGATGCTTTCAAAAATAATTTCAAGGAAGTGTTTGGCTCCACGACGGGAGAACTTTCCGAGTCCGACCAACTTCTGCGCCTGCGTCAAGGCTCCTCCACCACCAGTGAGTACACTACAATTTCGCACACTAGCAGCGACTAGTGGCTAGAATGAGGCGGCCCTCCTCAGTGCCTACCGTCAAGGTCTGGACCCTCGCATTCGTGCTCAAATGGCCATCTACGATGACAACATCGGACTAGAAGGCTTCCTACAACGAGCCACTCGCATCTCGCAACGGTTGTCAGCCTGCCAGCCCCACGAAGCCGCCCACCAGCCCTTCGCGTCCACCAGCGGTCCCTCTGTACCAGAGCCCATGCAAATGGATTCTACCCGACTCACTCGCGCCGAGCGCGCTCGCCGCTTAGCGGCCGGACTCTGCCTTTACTGTGGTGCTCCAGGACATTTCATCAGCTTCTGCCCAGTCAAACCCCCACGCCCGGCAGTGAGTACCCTCCAAATAGAACCAGAAATATTGACATTATCCCTGCTACCAGTGCAACCGCTAACCCAAGACCTCTCGGTTTCAGTTTCAGCCCTCGTCGACTCG